TAAGATGCACAACACATTAATAAATCTAGTCAAATCAAAGCATATCGAGTAGGTAATTGCAAGGACAAGGTGTTTTGGAACTCTCAAATTTGAAAACACTTGGGTATGCATTCAAGGTTCCAAAAATACTAATACTTCACCATTCATCACCACAAAAAAGGCATGATCACTAGCATACACTCCCATAAGCATTCATCAACGTATTACATTCACGAACAAGGGATGATACTAGCAATAAACAGTTGCACCAATCATGATAAACATGCAAACATGCACAAACATCCCCCCCCCCCCCCCCACACACACACTTGAGCAACACATTGTCCTCAATGTGGGAGTTCGCCAATAAAAGATCATGAATGTTACCATAGGTCGGGTTGTGGGTTGGTGAAGGTTCACAAGTGTAGTCTTTGTCTTCCTGGTGGTTTTCACAACGATAAAGCGCATAAGATAGGGAGGAAGACGAATAGGAGTTATATGTACGATAAATATATATAATAAGTACTACTACTAGAGATAGAATATTTAAGGTATGAAAGGTAAAAATGAAAATAAAGCGATAATTAAACATTGTTTTAATTTAAATAAAGAAAAGCATAAAAAAGAAAAGATAGAATATAGGCCCTGGATGCCTAGACTCATTCCTCCTCGGAGTGTCCTTCTTCTTCATCGTGGTAAAGTGCGGAAGGTGAGGAGCGGTTGAATTTGGCCAGTACATCTTCGATCAGAATGTTCATCTTCTCCATGATTGCGTGGATGCACGCCATAATGTGAAGCCGTGCTTCCTTCTCCCTTCGTTGGTTGTGAAGTATAGTCGATATCATAGCCTCAATTCAATAATCTCTTGCAATGTTGCTAGGTGGGTGAACCGATTGAAAAGTGGGAGTATGCACTTCTCCTCCTTCATGCACGCTCTCCTGTTGGTCTTCCTCGGTTGTCAATCCTCTTCGATCCCTTGCCCTCCTAGCTTCCGGAAGGCGAAATACAATTCCTCCCACATCCAGTGTATTGGTGGTTGGGAATGGGAATCACCGCACACCACAAATGCCATCATTGCTTATGTGTAGCACCTTGAGTTTCGACTTCAAGACACCGAAGGATATAGGAATGGTCCTTCGATCCAAACGAAATTGCACAGCTCCGAAGATGACTAGGAAATATCTGGCAAGTCGGGTGACGTACACTCCTCCGTGGAGTGCGGCAAGTCGGTGATCCGTCTCGTAACGCTTGAAAATAGATAAGATTGATAGGCCGAGATGGAGAGAATGTGGGAGGCGCATGCTATGAAATAGGGTGATGTCTCGGGCGGTGAGATTGCCTTGCTCCGATTCTTTCCTCCCACGGAACTAGCAATCACGTGGTGGATGAGTCTCCACTACAGTTGTACCTCACTAGCTTTTGATAGTCTCGCGTCCCATTGTCAGCTCTCGGGTTTCTTGACTTCAAACTCATAGAAGCCCTTGAAACAAGGGAAGTCTGATTCCCTTATCTAGGTGGTGAAATCATTAGGTGAATCAATGAAGCCCGCTAGTAGATGTCCATTGCTCTAGTGAATTCCCGGATTGACAAGTAGCGGTACTCTCCTCCGAGTTGAAAATGAATGAGCTTTGTGCTTTTGTACATGATGTCAGGGTAAGGGAAATTCATCGTCGTGGGAGCTTAAATTACGGTCGTGATCTACCTCCTTTCGACCTTAATATTAAGCATCATGCCAAAATTCCCTTCGGATGATATTGTCGTGAAACACACTACCAGTTTCCTCCTTTTCATGCTTCAAACGACCTCCAAATTACTCAAAATTTGCTTGAAACCTTTCTTAACATGCCAGGACATTAATTAAGAAAACTTATCCGCACAGTGAAGATAATTAAATTTCCATTCACCACAAAACTTTATTTTTGTTTGTTTATTATGTTTTGAAAAAAAATATGCATCCATTTGAGAGTTGTGTTGTTGCCTTGATGGAGTTAAAAGATAAATAAAAAATGAAAAAGATTAATTCTCCTTTTGTAATTTAAAAAATGACATTAGAAAGGTTAAAATTAGGGAGTTGCTAATTGTCGCCCTAGTTTAACGTAATCGCCCTAACTTACAAATTATTATTACCCTTTTATCCTTCCCTTTTTTTATTGTTAAAAATGTTTTATTCTAATAAACAAAACTCCGTCCAAACAAATTCGACATTAACTACAGTTTTGATTTCCACCACCCCCGAGACCCGCCGGCCGCCACCATGTCAATTGACTGCGAACAGATGACGTTTCTCTCATAACATCCCGCAACCTACCTACCCATGATCCAAAATAGAAGTCATGCAAACCCATCATCAAATTGATCATTGCAAATTAACCCATTACGCTGAGCATGTTCTGCCCAAATTTCATAACTGAATTTGTGGAGATTTTTTGGTACAATTTCTTGCGGCGGAGTGGGTATGATAGCTCTCGCTAGTCTTCCAGGTTCAATGGCGGAATTTGGGATGGTTTTGAGGGAATAAGGAAGATCACTGAAAAGGGGGAATATGTGAATTGATTAATCAATCAGCTTCCCTTTTTGGTGTTAATTGTAGCAAATGGAAGAAAGGGGTTAGCGCTAAGTATACACCAGTCAATTATCAGCCCTCTCTGTATTTTCAGGACATAGATTATATGTATAGCAATCACAAACAGAAGTTGGCTGGGGGCGGATTGACGACGCGTCGACGCCGTTCAGGACAGAGGAATATTGGCTGCTAGAGGACTTAGGCGGTAGGACAGAGGAGGGCCGATTGGATCCCTCTCAGTCGGTGACAGATTGACTTAATACAGTTCAGATTTTTCGACGACGGAGGTGGTTTGGAGTGAAGGCAGGTCTCGCCGGCGGAGGTGGTTTGGAGGGCGGCTCTCGTTGGAAGAAGACGAGGGCGGATTAAAAAAAATGGATTTTAGGGTTGTTTGTTAAAGGTTAATTTAGTAATTCCACATTTTAAATAAGGGCGATTATAGTAAAGTTAGGGCGAGATTTAGCTATTCAGTAAAATTAGTAGGGATATCGTCTGAGTATGTTGTCCTTAGACCTTAGTCATCAGTCTTCACCCCAACTCACCGTCTTCCTCACTTACGTTCAATTGAATATGTGATAAGTTACAAATGATTGCTATATTTCGACTTCAAACCCACCTCTTAACATGAACATACTAAGCGAGTGCGTGAAACCGCGAACTTGATCATACCGTACTTGCTCAATTCCAACAAGACTAAACCAGCAGTTCAAAACCAGAACATAACAGCCCTTTTAGCTACCTGGGTGATCCAAATTAAGGCATCTTTAATAAACTTTACCAATCGTTCTCTTGTTCATCATGGCCCTCCAAATCTCCGCAAACATGCCAATCCTTCCCAATAGGCTTTAGATACAGGCAATGATATCTTACAGAGAAGAGTCTCACTGATTTAGGCCAATTAGCACCAAGCCACCAACCACCAACAATGAGCTTCCTTTCTCTATCTCGCTTTTGACATGGCTATTATCAGTCAAAAGGATGTCTGGAAAAGCCTCTCTTTGCGGAAACAAAGAAAGAAAGCAAAAGAAAGCCGACCTCAGTGTCTGTCTGTCTGTCTACCTGGGCAAGGCTGGAAAGGGTCACCTCATTCACTGACCCGTATCCGCCGAGGTTCAAAGTAGAGAGACCCTCCTAGATATCCCAAACCCTTCAGAAATCTAACCTTTTCAGCTCTATAGTTTGCGATGTCGGGGCTTCACTTAAGCCAGGGTCGCTAGAAGACAAAGCAAGCACAGATGCAGGTTTCATAAAGAGAGAAAACCAGCAAGTAGATATACCACAGTCATCAATCATGCTCAAATTCGCAGCATCCAGGGCCCTCAAACTCGGGTAAAAGAAATACCATGAAATTTATCTGTACCCTGCTACATACATCATGCATTCTCCACGGTGTTTCACGCCTTACAACCTAATGCTATTAACATGATCTCTAAACAGGGGGAGTTATTTTATCTCTATGACTAAAGCAGGATCCTGATATGAGAAGTTACAAAACAGTGAACCTAGTTGAACGGGAAAAAAAATGAATAGAAAGAAAGAAGAAAACCCAAGATCAAGCAGTAGATATGATACAGGAGGAAGTATTAAGGCCGTCATTTCAACTCACTCAAACCAGTGGGCAGTCGCCACTTCCTGTGCCAATAGATTGACACTCTCGACCACAAAGGGAACCCAAAATTGTAGTCAAGTGGTTGATCTGCAGGCCCTCCGACTATCAATGGTAGCCACACGTACCTGGAGTCCCTTAGATCAGCTGGATTCCACCTATCCGCCATGAAAATGAAAGAACCGGGAAGCCCCCTTATCGGAATCACGAACGTGCTTTGAGAAAAGAATGTCGCAAGGCGGAACAGTTTGTTCCCACCAACGCATGGGTTACCCATGGTTTCCCAAGGGCCCATCATGGACTCAGCTGCATGTGCCAGAGCCTCATTTGGAGCCCAGCCAGTACACCCTGAGGTGATCATGTAGTAAGTTCCCTCATGCTTAAACAGTGCTGGAGCTTCCCTGTGCTGGCCGATGAGGATCCTTCTCACCACAGGGGTAACGTCGAGATAATCTGCTGCAAGTGGGCCTATGTGAAGTTCGCTGTTGTCCTCGGAAGAATACACAAGATATGCTACGCTATCATCGTCTTTAAACAAAGTCATGTCTCTGCTGTCATAGCCATGGGGTCTTTTGCTGCCTAGATAGTCAAAAGGACCAGTAGGATAATCGCTCACAGCAATGCCGACTGAAGCTTTGGTATAGTTGGCATCATCGACATGCATCCACATAACGTATTTCCCAGTTCTCCCGTTGTAGATTACTTTAGGCCTCTCCAGTACATTTGCCTTGAAGAGGTCATGGGTTTCATCGGTCTCTTCTCCTTGCAGTACAATGCCCTCATTCTTCCATGTCCATAGGTCCTTAGAAGAGTAACAGCCAACTCCAATGATATCAACCTGAAGAATAACAGTGTACATGAGTCCATGTGTTGAGAGATTGAACACGTATCTACCAATGGCATGCAGGTGTGACATTTTCAAGTTTTGATGACAAGAATCTTTTTTAGATACCATGTTAATGAAACTGCAAGAAGAGTACAACAGAAAGTTCCCTTGAAATATATGGGTAACCATTTGAGGCACCTGGTTTATTATATTGAAGAAGATTACTAAAACCACAACCAACAGAGTAAAAACTGCTACATCTAGGGTTCGAATTTTGGATTCAACATCATCAGTAGGGCAAACAAAACATGCAGCCTATACGGTTTCACAACAGCATTTATGTAAAAGTCTCCCCAAGCAAAAAACTGTATGAAGCAATTGCCCTCTTTAGACGACCATTTGCAATAGAAGAGTTGTTTATTCTATACTCCCAAATCCCCAGTGCAGGGAATCCATCGGCCGGTAGTATTTTCCTGGACTTAATTGATTGCAGTATGGGTGTACTAATTCATATTTTTCTCAACTTGGTTGATTTCAGTAAGGATTTGATAATTCCACAAACTCCAATTTGAATCAGTAGTGCATTGCATCTTCCTCCAAGGAAGCTACACAGAAAGTACTTGCCAGAGGAAACTTCAGCCAGTTCTTTCATATGAGGTCACCATTCTGTCTCAACATTAAATAAGGCTACAAGTTGGAATACCGTAGTAACTGAAACTAGCACTGGAGACAAGAATACTGCTATGTTCGAAATGATCATAATATTGTTATCCCCCAACTAATTTCAGCCACAGCACAAGCACAGCTTGAAACTTGACAAAGAACAGTCAGGAAATGCAGGATAAGTAGCCTAACTCAACGGGAGAGCAGAAGGCAAGAACAACGCCTTCTGAACACGAAACTAAGATTGGCACATGAAAAGAGATCTGCACATGCATAGATTGATATAGAGGAAAGAAGACCATAAAACTTAAATGACATACCCGGGCGGCTCCTTTTTTGTGAGCATGGTAGGTGGGTCCCTCTTTATACTCTCCATACCAATAATATGTGTTTGATCTCTCGTCATATAAAATGCCTCCTCCATGAGCTTGAATAGGATTTCCTTCAGTATCCAACCAAATCCTCCCAGGATAATAATAGGACGAGCTCGCATTGCCATTATCCTTCATAGGATCCACAGCAGTCTTCATCCCTGGGAAAAATACATGTCGGAGTTGGGAGTTTTCATCTAGGAACTCATCAATCAGGGTGGTTGTCTTTTTATTAGGCCTTCGTTTTGTAGCCCGTGGGGATCTCTTCCCCCTTGGTGGAGGAATCTGTATATTCTCTTCTTCCACTTCCTCAAGTTCACGGAAGAGCTGGTGATGAATTGCACGGAATTGGACATGTGCAACTTTACCACCACCATTGTTGCGGGCCATAAGCGAGGAGTAGAGATGAAGGAAAAGAAGCAACCCAACTAAACTCCAAACCAGGACAGATAATGAGCATCTGCTCCCTCCTGCATTGCAAGGGAAAGCAACAGAAGTTGGTTTCCTGCATTTGTTCCTCATCCTCATCTTGTTAACTATCTCTTTCCACCACTTCCTATCTTCAAGACAATGCTGGGATTAACATAATGCAACAACCTATGGAGATCCAAAGGAAATCCAAATGAACCCAACCGCACATATTTTACAACAAAATCTAATATTAAGAATGGCCAAAGAAGCAGTGATCAACCTTGGAAAAACAGATAATGATAAAATTAACACGCTCGTGATTGGTGCATCATCAACCATCACTAAATACAAATCGAATGCCAACACAAAACGAATTTTCATATATTTAATATCTTCGGGATCATCGTCCCGAGCAGCCAAAATTTAAGGCTACCGAAGCTACCAAAGCCATCAATTACTTGCCTGGCCATCCAAACCCGCATTTCAATTCTCTAAAAGAAGTAAAGAAAAATCGAAGAGGATGGAAAGACAAGCAATACAGTTCAACACTATCACACCATATATTGACGACTGCTAAATCCCACAAAACCCAGTCAAGCCAAACAACGAACAGAGCAACTTACCTGGACAAAATCGAACCATGGGAACCCAATTGAGCGGTGAACTCGTTGACCAGCTCGATAAAAATCAAAGACCCAGTTCACTGTATAGTTCAATAACAACTGGGTCGTTGAGTTGGGAATTGCTTCGGATCTGAGAGGGAAGATTGAGAGATGACTTGTGACCAAACCCTCTTTCTGTTCGGTAGAGCCGTAGAGGGCTTAGGCGGTTGGTGGGAGAAATGAGAGACTATCGGTTCTCTTCTTTTTGGGAGAGCTAAAGGGTCAACTTGAGCTTGACTTAGCTTAAAGATACGATTGCTGTAGAGGAAGATTGTCTTGGTTAAGAGTTGAGCTGTGCCAAACTGTACACTAGTGGGAGATTAGATTCTTTCTCGGGAATTTTCTTCAACTTTCATGTCCATCTCTTTCCCTTCTGATTGAGGAAGAGCCTTCCTCTGTCGTAATTCCGCTTCCTAATATTACTTTACCTTCCTCGCATCTGACGCAATATCCATTTGAGCGCGCACATAATGAGAAGCAGATCCGGAACCTACGAAGCAATACCGGGATTTCACTTAAAGTTGCGATTTATAAATAAAAATATATAAAAATTAATTTTATGCATATTTAATTGATTCTCGATAGTGTTTCGTAATTCGTCGACAGATTTTTGTTTAAGCCTCGACAGTTCGATACTAAATTTGGAATTAGTAAATTCAGAATAAGCAATTAGAAACACATTTTGAAACAAAAAATCTAATTATTTATATAATATGCAGGGTTAGTGTGTGCCACAAAACTCTTTATCGTTATTGGTAGACAAGGTAAGACCGTAAACATGAAATGTAAGAGTCGAATAATATAAATTGTGTACAGATATTGTTATTTTTGTTGTCGTAATCTAGAAAACACCCTATTACAAAGTGGCTTCGCCACTGTTGCCAAGATTGTCAAACCGGTTAAGTCGTTGAGCCGGTCTCGTAAGCGGCTTAAACTTTAATGGTTTAATTAGGGTATAATCTATTTCAGTCGTTTTATCCATTTTCTAAATATATATACAAGTAAGGTAGTGTTGGGGGTGTGACTTAACCTTCCATGAACAGATTAAGTAGTTGCGCACCAGCTGAAAGTTGCTTAATATGTCGCACACATACTACGTAATGGTGCACCCAACTATAGAGGTTACTAGTGATTAAGTAGTGGCGCACCAACTATGGGTGTCAACCGTGACGCCCAACAGTAATGCGCGACCGATGAAGAACGGCACAACAGTGACGCTCAACAGGTGGCACCCCACAGTAACACGTAACCGCCTACCCGAGGAACTTGACGCCCGCTACAACTATATAAGGGCTCCCTCCAAGGAAGGGGAATCAACTTCTCTACCCTCACTTTACACTTTGGGGTTCTATTGACTCGAGCGAAACTACACCACAAATTAATCCCGACTAGAATCCAAGTTTTTAAACTCTAGTAGGGTGGACTATAGAGCAAGTATTTAAATTGTCAACCTGGGGCGATCCATCTATCCCTACTTCAATCTCTTAGGTTATTATCGAGCAAGCAACTTTTGGGTTTATAACTAATGGAACTACAAACTAAATAAGCAAGGAAAAGTAAATAAAGGAAAATTTTAGAGCTTCACTCAAGAGTTGCTTCCCCCTAACTAGCTACCAAGACTCGTTGGATTGGAACGATTATTATGGGCAAGGTGATCGCGAACCGCAAAGGGATGAAAATATGATCGTAGACCACACTCTCGATTGCTACCAAGGTATACATTATAGGCCGTGTCACTCGGCCCTCTCGGTTTAGGCAATCGGTGGTTGACTTACTCCCTCACTCAACTCAAGGGTTGGACGACTTAATCGCGCTTAACCAATTTGCTTAATTCAACATTGAGGTTTGCCCTAAATTAACCTAGTTAGGTGACTTAAAAGGCTAAAGGAAAACCAACTCGATTGAGTCTCCCTTGAAAGGGGGATTTTCCTCTCTAATCTAGGTTAAAGTGGCTAATTAGATTTCTAAGCACCAACATGCACAAACCTAAGGATGCTAAGCACAATCATGCACAATCCTTAGGTTGCTAAGCACAAGCATGCACAATCGACATGAATAATACCTTAATTATTAGATTAAACAATACCCAATGACAATCATTCAATCTAAACAAGTAATTACAAAGTATTAGTTAGGGATCTCCAGCACCCAAGAGAAAATAGTGAGTTTCTAGAGAGAGAGAGGGGGGATTAAAAATCTGAGCTCAAGATCTTCTTCTTCTTCTTCTTCTTCTAGGCTTGAATCTCCACCTAAGCCTCCAATGATGCTCCAAAATCACTCTAGCACTCTCTCTCTCTCTCTCTCTCTCACTAGAACTTCCCTTTGGTGTTTTTGGGCAAACCCTAGAGAAAAACCAATTCTTCTCCAAAAACCAGCTCTCCCTTTTCTCTCTCCCCGCTGTTGTCTTCATATTGGCCCGAAAGTGACCAGTTCACGGAAGCGTTGCCCAGTTCACGGCGTGAACACCTAAACGCGTCTGTGAACTCAGTGTCGTCCAAAACGCACCGCTTCACTCTCTTGGGTTCACGGTCAATGGCCCCAGTTCACTGTCTTAGAGACCGTGATCTGCCTTGTCGTCAGTAACTTCTGGAACCTCGTTGGACTGCTCGATGTTCACGGTTTGTGGTCCATGTTCACGTTCTTAGGAGACCGTGAACTGTCTTGTCCGGCCGTGAAATACGACTGTTTCCAGGACGCCTTCAATTCACTATTACGGGGCAATTGTCACGGTGACTTCGGACATTTCTTCGGTTTTTGCGCTTATTTTGACCTCCAATTATCCCAAAACTAGTCCTCGACCCTTCCACATATGCTAGGACCTGAAATGTATAAAAACAAGCACAACCTAGCGTGAAATATGTCAAGGAATGATGAAATACTAATGACTCACTCCTACTGTCACTCTAGAAAATGGCACAGTGTAACCACTTCCTAAAGCGTAGTATAGCGGGTTTGGGTTTTATTGTCAACCCGGGTCCTAGATGTGATGACTACTCAGTGAATTCGTATTATCTAGCAATGCAACTTTAGTGAAGATCTAAACTAACAAGCAAGCAAAGTAACTAAACGGTTGTTTTCAGGTTAAGAGAGGTCACCCGGATATGGTTCCCCCTAGTCTGCAGTTAAGCCGGATTGTAATTACCAAGTTCAATTTCTATGATAGTTATACTGCGGAAGGTTCTCAAACAGTCTGAAGTCTCGACTAAAGGTCTTCAGACCCTCTCAATCTGAGTCTCTAGCGGGCGACTAACCTCCACCGGAGTAAACAGATTGAGGCCCTAACGAACCAAACCTCCACTACCGAATGGAATTCGGTACAAAATAGTGAATTGGCTCCTCGACTAAAGTCACCAATTCACTACCTTCAATCAAGGATACTCTATTAACCTAGGCAGATATTCTCATTCTAGGTTAAAGCAGAAACAACAGGAATTTGATCAGGATTCATGCCATTCAATCATTCAAACCTCAATCGAATATAATCAATTCATAGAAACAGTACTTCGGTTCATACAATCAATCCCAACATACAGAACTAGGGTTTCCCACACCCAGATGAATGGGAGAACTACTCCATGGAGAAAGAAGCAAAAGCAGAATCAGACGCGGAAATCATACTGTGAAGATGGATTTCTGCTCCTGGACGTTGAATCGGCACTTCTCCAAGCTCAAGCCAAGCTCCAATGGTGTTGAAGATCAAACTAGGGCACTTGGAGACTCTTGTTCGTCGCTTTCTCTCTCTAGGAATCGCTTTGTCTCTCTAAAACTCGAATCCCCTCTCAATTTGGCTGAAATCTGCCTAAAAGGGCATCACTGGCCAGAACACGGTCGAGGGCACGGCCGTGTTCTGGCCCAGCCCGCCCGTGTTTTGGATTTGGCTTAAAAACACGGCCACGGGCTTCATGAAAACACGGGCGTGTTCTGTGCAAAACACGGTCGTGTTCTGTCTCAGGCCTGCCCGTGTTTTTAGGTGGTTCAAGCCACCCTTGGGTAGTCTCGGCTATAAAAACACGGTCAGGAACACGGCTGTGTTCTGAGGGCCTCCTGCCCGTGTTTTGGCCCTGGCTTGTCCAAACGACTTCCAAACGATCCGAAACTCGCGCTTGGCCTTCCTTTTGACGCCTGGGAACTGAAATAGGACAAAGTAGCACAACCCGGCGTAAAATAGGCCAAAACACACAACCATGCTCCGCAAATGGATAAGAAATAGGGGTGTAAAATCATGCAATTACATCGTTATCAAACTCCCCCACACTTAACCGTTTGCTTGTCCCTAAGCAAACCAAGTCAGACACCAGGTAAGCTCGAGACATTTCAATCAAGCAGGCTTAAGGGCAAATCATATCGGCACAAAACACGTGGATCATACTGGCTTTCGATCATCAACACACGGCAACTCGAACGACGACCTAGACAACCACCACAGCTGACATTCGAATGCAATACAGTTGAGCAAATGAAGAGTTCCCTGCTGTTCACTAACCAACATAGACTTGACTCAACCACTTGTTCAAAACAGTCACTTCATGCATAAAGCTCAAGATATCAGAATTAAGACCGAGCAATCTAGGTCCTCACCGGGGTAAAGAGCATAGAGAAAATGAATCGCTCACTCTCGACCAGTGGGGTCAGGACAAATTGATGCGAAAAATGCGCATGCTTATTCTCTCAATCCCTAACGTCTCTTCACCATGAATGCAGCCTCTAAATGCTAGAGTTCACATACGGGGGTGTCACCACTAACTAATCCGGATGTCTTAGACACAGGTTCAAATGACTGGCTAGGGTCTTGGACATGGGGCAAAGGCCTTTTAGGTGGTGGCAGTTATAGCACAAGGTTCCACATTTCCAGACCCAACAAAACCACAATCAAGCAAACCAATAACTTTCGTTATGCTATTCTGCATTAATCAAATTCTTCAAGGCACAAGAGCGAAGGAGGTTATATGAATGTTAGCATTTCCAAGCCAGACTGCTAGAAAACACTACTTAATGGGCACTATTTTTCTTTGTTTTTCTTTATTTTTTTCGTTATTCATTCCTTAAGAGAACCACCACCTCTGCACATTTTTCCAACACACGCCCAACTTTTAAGCACTACCTCCAACCCTCACATTACATTTAGCAAAACAGCAGAAAGCATACAAAAACCACTCTGTGGAACCTTCTAAAAGATGCAAAGGGTGATTTTTCATTACAGACCGAAAGAAAGGACAACACACGGCTCAAAGGGGCTGACTAAGGGATATGACACATCAGGACAGTCATTTTGGTCGTGGGCTAATCCTACGCCTCCATCATCTTAGCTAGTGACAACGTGAATGCTACATTTCATGGAAGAGGGATCTATCGCACAAGAAAGAAACGAGCAGGCTCAAATCTCACATGGCTACCTATATGCTCTATCTCACATTCTGATTCCCTGAACTGGATGCATGAAAGACTGTCAAAAACAAGTGATCAAATGCAAGTCGCAGTTGGTAAGCAAAC